TTTATCTAATTTTGTAAATATGCATACTGAATAGATCTCACGATGAATCAAACTGAACTTTCTGCTGAAGTATGCTGTATGCATTGGGCACTCATGAAGAGTAACGCTAATCGCTCTTCCCCCGTGTGGACCCGGGGTAGAATGTGTCCTCAGCACCCTATTGCATGTAGTAAGAGGCGACAAAATTGGACAACCTGTTAGCTCTTGGTTGCGCCCCTGTGTTCGTGGAGGACTGGATTCTTGTGGTTGAGGGCACTGAAACCAGGGACAGTGTTCCTTTTACCCAACACACCACTTCCATTTTGATTATAACCTTATATTCCACATAGTAATTATGGAAAACATCACATTAAGATTACATTATAAAACTGCCTAGAGTCCTATACCAGAAAGCGGTGGCTTATGGGCCAATCTGGCATTACTGACCTCCGGGTTCTATTTGTCATCAGATAACTGTCTAGGGCGGAACCAGTCTGACTGTTACCCTGTTTGACAATAATAGCTACCTATGTCCTTTTTGCTTGAGTATAACACCCTTGTAGCCCTTGTTAACACTCCATGGTGGGTGCGGAGCAGGGTGTCGAAAAACCTCACACTCGTTTGACACTATTTTATGGATAAGAACATCTTTTATACTGTAAAAAGCAACGTTTCAGTGTAGATCCTTATACTGTTGCCTTTTACCAGTCTTGCTTGATAATGGTATAAGGATCTACACCGAAAGCTAGCTTTTTACAGTATTAAAGAAGGTGTTATCCCTAAAATTGTGTCTACCTTGCCATTCATCAACTTCTAAGTTATGCCTATCAGACTCGTTTACCCCACACTCGTCTGGTTCTCGCTCAAAAGTTAATGAAGGCATATTGATTGAGATCCTGCATTATCTTCATATCAGGATTCTGTACCCTAATACTGATTCTTGGCCACGTTTTAAGGTTGTTGAAGAAAATCAGCCCCATTGTAGTTTCAAAATCTATTGAAGGAATATGAAGAAATGTAAAAAAAGTGTTACTCGTCTCCCGTCCAGTTTGCTGCTTGGGGAATGTGCACGGAGACAACAATCTCTAAATCTGTTCAAGGCACATCATTTCGCTGATACTGAGATTGTTTTCTCAGTTCACAGGACTCTGAATTCTTGTAGAGGTATTGTTCGCGACTACACAAAATGGTTTTTAGTTACGTCAGAAGTGTAAATTGCTGCAGAGCTGAAAAATCAAGGTAATACTGCGGTCAAAAGATTCTCTAGGAAAGATGGTGATGTGATGCATTCATAAAAAAAACCGACACTTACCCGTTTTCGTTATCACTCACAAAGTTCTCTTCTTCTATCAAAGCCGGATATTTCAACATCGGAGTATATTATATGATTACATCCCCAATCCACTCTGATGTTTTAACTGTCAACAGTTCAGAAATGGAGCAAAATCCTGTTGCAACACACAAGTTTGTTACCGCTGCAGTAAAAAACATGATGGCACTGAGTTTACAGATACGATCAAATATGCAGACTGTAGCGGTGAACACATGTCCTTTTCAAAATCTTGCCTATCTTTTGTCAGACAAACTCAAATTCAAGTACAGTAATGAGATCTCATTTGCAAAGAAATTACTAGAGAAGGCCCTTAAACATATTTAGGTGCCTTCAACATTGACAGTCCCTCTTGGAGTTTCATAACTCTTTTGGGGGCACTGGTGGCCCAGTCGTCTAAAGCGCCGCGATTCGCTGTTCAGAGTTGCGTCTCGTGGACACGCCAGGAACCTATGATTGTGGGTTCGAATCCCGGTTCGACCCGATTATGTTTCTAGGTTTGTCAGCACCATACCCGTGCTCGTGGGTTTCACCGAAGTGGTAAACTTCTGAGACCTGCATCACTTCGGGCTTTCCTCCCACATTAAGCTGACACGCCACGATATAACTGGAATACTGTTAAAAGCGGCGTTAAACCCAACTCACTCACACACTCATAACTCTTTTGAACCGCTAGATGTGGCGGCCACTCCATCCCTGCCATTACAGCACGTTCTCCAAATGAGCATTCATGAGTTGCTCTCCCAATTTAATCCAGTGGAATTGTAGAGGACAATTTCAATGATCTTCGGCTATTGAGTCTGCAAGTTTCAAGAAACTTTCCTTAAACCAACAGTTAATTTTCATATACAAAAGTACGATTCTTACCATTGCTTATCTCCACCAGGTGATAAAGCAACTGGAGGATCCTCTGTTATGGTGAGGCAGGGTGTCGTCATTAACAGTCCTGTTCCTCTCAATACCGCTCTTCAGGCTGTTGGAGTATGGGTTACATTCAATGTTGTTTTAACTTTGTGTTTTTTGGATGTACCACCATCGTACTATCTCCGACAGTCTGATCTTCAGGCACTGTTTGACCAATTCCCTAATTAAGCCATGTGTTTTCATGGGAGATTTGAATAGCCATAACCCACTTTGGGGTAGTAGTGACACCATTGCTAAAGGCAAATTACTTGAGGATTTTTTTCTTAAATAACGATTTGTGCATTTTTAATGATGGTTCTCGCAAATATCTCTATCCTGCAACTGGCACTTACACTGTCAGTTGTAGATTCTAATTTACTCAATGAATTTGAATGGTCAGACTATGATTGCCTCTTCTACTACCTTGATAGGAGTACATGTACCATATAAAAATAATTCTGGATCCTTATGTGGTTTATATTTATGACTAAAGTGAATACAGTTAGTTTTGGATATAGAAAATTTTAAGCCGTTTACGTTGGCCCATTTTTGAATTTTGTTAAGACAGAACTGAAATGTTGAAATCGTCCACAAAAAGTGAACCATCAACGCTATTGTTTAATACTTTAATGAGACTCTTAATTCTTATGCTGAAAAGTGTGACTGATAGCATGCTTCCTTGAGGGGTGCCCTGATCGAAATGATCAGACAGGGTAGAGCCCACTCATTCTTGAAATTGTCAGTTGTTTAAAAATGGAAATCCAAATTCATGCAAATCTTTTAAAATACCATGTTTCCACATTGTTTCATATGCCTTCTCTAGATTGAAAAATATTAATACAGAATTTTGTTTGAAATAAATGATTCTAAACGCAACATACAGTTATGATGGTGTGCAATGCCATGAAACTATCAAGTGTATTCCACTCAAATAGTAAAGTATCCCATTCTAAGTTATACGTTTTCAGTCAGTAACCTAAAAATCGTGGTGTTTTTTGTTCCACGATAAAAGCAGAGTCGTTCAAATGTGATTAAAACAGTCGTCAATATTTGATGACACAAGCCCTGATAAATACACAAATACTACTTCTTACAGGGACCATGAGAGTAACATCACCATCAGCTACTGCAATTCAGCAGATAACACAATCAGATACCTCTTTGAAACAGCCAATCTGTTATCTGTAGTAGAAGATAACAAAACCTGTTTCCAGAATCATGAGCAATTGCTACCAAAACACCATAAGCATTTCTTTATGAATAACTATGTTTGTTTGTCTGTTGTTTAACGCCGCACTCTGTAATATTCCAGCTATATGATGGCGGTCTGTAAATAACCAAGTCTGGACCAGTCAATCCAGTGATTGACGCAATTTATAAATAACTATCAAATAGACAGGATACCAGGTGGTCGCCAAAAGGTGGACGTATCCTACCCCACCGGTGGTCCCCATCACAAACACATACGATAATAAGAATAAATATGGTAAATAAATGACATTTTTTCTCATAGATTAGGTACTAATTACTAAATATTAGGAGCACACAAATGTATATATTGTATTTTAGAAGGGACAAATATGGAGGTGGTGAGGCAAGAAACGAGACTATCTATGTTATTATGTTACTCAATAATATTACATAGCTAATAGATTTCTATATTTACCTGTTCAAGTACAAATGTATTTCAATATGTAACTATTTTTAAATTATATAAATGATATACTCTATTTGTTGTATTCCTAAATAGATCTAGATTACAATCAATATCCATCTAAAATGTGGAAGGAATAATTCACTCAAGATTTGGAATGGTATAATATACGTCACGACGGTTAAGACGATTAACTGGAAATTACATGATTTTGTTTCGTTTGTTTGTTGTTTTACGCCGCACTCAGCAATATTCCAGTTATATGACGGTGGTCTGTAAATATCGAGTTTGTACCGGCAATCCAGTGATTGATATCATGAGCATCGATCCACGCAATTTGGATTCGATGACATGCATCAGCGAGCCTGACCACCCGTTCCTGTTAGTTCGCCTCTTACGATAAGCAGAGCCGCTTTTTACGGCAAGCATGGGTTCCTATTCTACCCCGGATCTTCACGGGTCTGATTTTGTATATTTATGATATTAGTGTACATATTCTGAGATAACATTTTGCACTTTCCTTCTTCTCTTCGATCATATCACACAAAACACAAAACGTGCCTCTTCTTCATCGGAGGCGCCCGCTGCCCCTGGTCAGCAATTGGAGTTATCAATGCTCACCTCACAGGAATGTACACATATCCTTGCTGTGGGGAATTATATCCTTTGGCATTGTGTTAATTACATGTTATAAGACAATTGAATGTCCATATTTTACTATAATAAATATTTACTTGACCTTAATATTGATCTCTGACTAATCTTTTTCAAACGCGGGGATCCATCCAAAAATGTGACAACAAAATCTAATTTTAAAAAGCATTGGCAATTTTTGTCATTTTTGTATTCGTTATCTTTACCTTTGCCCTTCTGAAAACGTTTGTATTGAAGACAACAAAACATTAGCAACGGAGACTGTCAAATTCAGAAAATAACATGAAGCAGTACCGTTTCTGCTGCTAATAAAGAATGTGATCAAACTGATGCTGGCAATAGAAACGAGAAAGGTTACACGAAGACCTTATGGTGTAGGTAAAGTAACACCAAGCTCAGATACTGCACTTTGGAAATCCATTTTCAGAATCCATACAGGTGTAAAGGACCAGTTAAGTTCAACACTGCTTTAATTTGCAGGTTAATGTGCTGTTAGAAAGACTCATTGTGCTGTCACTCATATTCCCTCCTTGTACCAAGCAGGTGGTTGTGTCATCATGGAATATCTTCGACGTTTTAGAGGTAAGTGCGAAATGGATTTATTTTTCAGTGTACAGATAATTAAGATACTCTCAATTGTAGATTGAGACTTATTTTGGGGGATTGAAAATGAAACTATTGTTCACGACTGAATGAAGTACAGTGTAGTTACCCGAAATTTCTGTATTTTGTGCATGAATAAAAAAAACGTTATTTAATGTAAATTTTGCTGTAATCTTTACATTGAATTTCATCACAATCGATCAAGGGTTCCGTCTGAATACTTCGAAATAGTCTCATAAGCTTTGCACATTACTTATACCTCTCATCTTCGCTCGTCACGCCGAAGACCCGGGTTCGATTCCCGTCATGGGTACAATGTGTGAAGCCCATTTCTGGTGTCCCCCGCCGTGATATTGCTGGAATATTGCTAAAAGCGGCGTAAAACCATACTCACACACTCTCTATACCTCTCATTTCAATAATCACTATATCAGGTTGACAGTAATGTATCCATCACATTTGACTGATTGTACTCACAATTTCGAACTGTATACACATGCAATGTGACGATTTTGAGATGTATTTCTGGAGAGTTGTTTGAAGATATATTTGTAAATATTCGGTCTGTTGGGGAATATCCTTGTCTAAACCTGCTTGTGTTTCACTTAAGATATTGTTATTGTTACACCAGGACTTGAGGCGTCTGTCTGGAATGGAAGTCAATAACCTTACATTACCTTACATCAACGAGAGATATTTCCCTGGAATTATCTGGTTCATCCTTATTACCTCCGTTAAATATGGGACATTATGCTTTTCTCCAACTCCTCAGGAAAACTGCAAATGGCATCCTGTACTAGTATTCATAGCTTTCATAGCTTTCAGCCATGGAAGCCGAGCAAATTAACACTTTTCATAGGGGTACACAAAGTACGTGATCTAGACTATCAGTTTTTAGACTTTCATTTTGTTGCAGGCTTGAAGGCTGAGTGGGTTAGATCGCTGAATTTGTGTGCTGGCGATTAGGTGCCTCACTCTGGCAGTGTGTGTTTGAATCCCGAATACTAGAATATGTACTTTACTTAGAAAGTGTTATCACAAATACAACATTTGTTACATTTAACCACTTTCTCAATGGCATCGTGTATTCATACTTTTCAAAAAAAACTTGAGGTAGTTCCTTGCAATAACCAGTTTAATCCTTTCTTTCTTTTAATAATCTTCTCGTTTGGTAGATAACGTCTCAAACAATCTTCGTAGAACTCTGAAGTTTTTAATATCCATTCCAAAGTCTCGGTTAGCTCTTATAGCTGTATATTATCTTAGTTTATTAGTCTCTGAGTCTTCATCCCTCCATGGAGGCTGCTTCTGTGTTGTTATAACGTAACTTTTAGTGGGACATACAGAAGAATTGTACAATTCTATCAGTACCCTTATTTTGTTATTTATTTCCACTTTACTCAGAGACACAAGTTCTTCAAACTTTGTATAAATTGATTATCATCATTTCAATCTTATTTCTCCACTGTTGTCAAAGTAAATCGATTGTTACAATCTGACACACATATTACACTTTGATTCCTTCGATCATGTTGATACACCCTTCCACTGACGATTAATCTGTTGAGAAAAGACAAACATGGTTTAATGTTGTAATTACAAGACTAAAATCATTAACAATATTTAAATAAAATGCAATTTGCGCCACGAGATTGGGAAGCCACACCAAAACCAAAACTATCTAACCATGGTTAAAATTTCACATTGAATGTCCTATATTTTAGGTGACAGTCTTTTTAAATACCCATTCAGTCACAACAAAAGACGTCTACACCTGACCCAAGTAATCTTAAAGAATATCTTTATAGCTCACAGCATACACACACTCCAAGTTATCTCCAATACATGCGGCCAAACCAACTTAAATGTGATTTTGACAACGTATATACTTTTTATGATATACACCTCATAAATATCACATGGGCACTAGTCATATAAAATTGTCCCGTGTTACTCCTAAACCCGACTGATTGATCATGAATCTGTTGGTTAATGAAAAGGATCTGGGTTTGCATGCAAACCTGGCTTGTCTACTGAATTCGGTTCAGACTTATTAACATTAAAGGGTTGGTTGAGATGTAATAAAGCTTCACCATTGTCAGTCCAATGTATATACGTTCACCTCGAAAGTAAATTTATGTATATTATCTAAAAAGCTTAGTTTTTCATTTGGTACTACTAGTATTTGTTTAGGAAATATTTCTTTGAACAAAATATCATTTTCATTTTCCACATCCTCGATTATCCAGTGTATTTCATCTTTATTCTATCATGGTATGTACCCGACCCATTCGCCACCACAGCGACGTTGTATCCCCGATTCTAAAGACATGCATGCAGCGGCTATAACTAGCCACCCACTGAAAACAATTACACTCAAGAGACATTCTGTGCGAAGGTACGTAAATGTTGACGTCACTTTTCATACCAAGATATGTGGACTAATGGGCTCCGGGGTATTTAACATTATAGAATATACTGAATAATCGAGGATAGTTTTACCATGGAGTGACAAATCTTAGATGTCAAAAGATCGCACAAGACTATTGAATGTGGAATAATTCAAGAAAATATACAGATCATTCCAAGAAACGAAGCCTACCCCGTCGTCCTACACCGAGTGATATTTGATAGAGCTTTATGAAAGGCAGTTCTGGTACAAACACAGAAACGTGAATACTATTAACTTTTATAACTTATTTTTATTACAGCAAGAGTCGAGCAGATTGTAAGTACCCATGCACATTCCCCCCTTAATAAAGTAATGATATTAATGTGTATGTTATCATAATGTTCTAATCATCAGTTGGCTTTCTATTTTCTCTGTCTCCATCTCGTCATTTATGACTTTATTAAATTGTTAATATCTACATCGATGTGTACCAAAAGTATGTAAGCATGACATGTTTGATGTTGTCATTATTTACTCATGCATGTATCATCAGTAATTATTAATTGAAGGTCTAGAAGCAGTTTACTTTCTGATATGTGTGATATCAAACTGACGTATTGTGAGTTACAATGTATTGATAATACATTTTATCATAGAGCATCTGCAGATAAAATAATTTAACAACATTAACATATCAATTCGTGATGAAAGGGAGATTACTCATGTTAAGGATTGCAATAGCGCGTCATTTAAATTATTGCTTGGTGCATCACGTATTGCATATAGCTGTGTAAGGCAGGCGAGGAAGAACGGCGTTCTTTTCAGTTGAAACGGGCAACTGATGCGCGGTAGCTTTAAGTTAGGTGAGGAGTAATATGGACGCTACACATACGATTCGTTTCGGACGTTGACGCTTAGACAATTCGTTCGCAGAAAATGGTGAAGACCAGGAAACCGCGAAGGAAACGACAGTTGTCATCAGCAGTGGCGGGAAACAGTGCTCCACAGCCCGGTCATGACACGACCATTTAGGCTGAAAGTTCAGACGAAACGAGTAGAGTCAAGCGTGACAGGCTGGATTCCCGCAGGTGAGAACAGTATTAACCTAGGTATCGATTTTAAAACAAATGTTTATCCTTATGCACGATATGGCTGAAATACTGCCGATGTGAGTACTTTAGGACCGCTCCTGGCTTCTGATTGGTCGAGAGGATCTGTGACGTCACTTCCGGTTTCGTTTTGGTCACGTGACTGCGCATGCGCACAGGGCATGATGGGACCTGCACGCGCATCCAAGATGGCGTCGCATCCGTTTCCGGTGGCGTGCGCCTCCAAGATGGCGTCGCATCCGTATCCGGTGGCGTGCGCACCTCCAAGAGGGCGTCGCCTCCGTTTCCGGTGTCGTGCGCACCTCCAAGATGGCTGCGCCTCCGTTTCCGGTGGCGTGCGCCTCCAAGTTGGCGTCGCCTCCGTTTCCGGTGTCGTGCGCACCTCCAAGAGGGCGTCGCCTCCATTTCCGGTGGTGCGTTCACCTTCAAGAGGACGTTGCATCCGTTTCCGGGGGAGGAGGAGGAGGAGGGAATTGGGAAAAACCCAGAGAAGCGGTCGTAAAAGGTGAACAAGATCGACAGTGTTGGTGTTGTTGTTCTAAACATAGACGTGGTGGAGGGAGGTGGTGGTCGAGGGAGGAGGGAGGGAGGAGGCGGGTTCTTTGTTTTGGTTAAACTGGAAAAAACGGTAGAGCAGCATGTCCTCCCATGCGTTAGTCACTTTGCTCAGATGATCTATTTTCTTCATCCTCTACCTCCATCTCATCCTCGGACTGAAGGTGTCGCCGGCGTTTTGAAGAGTGTTTTCTCGAGAGGCTTCTGTCCCGTTTTCTTTTCTCTAGACGAGGTGTGATGCCCGCACGGAGTTGTGTGATGCATTCTTTTAGGTCGAGGACATCGACGTGCATGGCTTCTATCAGATGAAGCACTTGTGTCACGGGTGTCACGGGTGTCACGGGTGTCACGGATGTCGACGTGGACGGGACTGCTGGCGTTGTTTTTCGAGTGGGTTCTGGGCAATCTGCAGCAAAATGACCAACGACTTGACAGTTGTAACATGGGCCCTGGTTCTGCTTCTCTTGACTGCTTATCTTCGGACAAACATAGTGACGGTGACCTTGAGTGGGACACTCGAGACATGTCACTTCAGGGCAGTACAGGTAACTGTGACTGTCAGTCTGGCACTTCATACAACTGTATCGAGGTGACATGGTTGGTTTCATAGAATGCAGTGTGTGAGTGACCTCGCTCTTGTTTTTTTGTTTTTATAGGAGAGCCACTGACACCCTGCTTCCTGATTGGTTCCCCAGGCCGCGCCCCCGATTGGTTCATTCCGGTGCCTGGCCTGCACCTCGGTTTTCGAAAACGGACCGACCCCTGTGTTTCTTTTCCGTAGGAAATGGATTTTACCATGGGAGGAAAAGCACAACCCCTGTTCGACCATTCAGAGTCCAGCATGACCTGAGCACGGTCTCTGATTGGCCGACAACCCAAGCCTCTGATTGGTCAGATTTCGATCTGGTTTTTATCAGGGTGTGCATTTCGATCCGGTTTTTATCAGGGTGTGCATTTCGATCTTGTTTTGTTTTTTCTTCATCCTACAGACAACATAACACTACTATTGGTTCAACTTTATTTTTTAAACCCCCGCTCACATGAACCAACACAACAAAACAAAAGTCACAGGATTAGGGGCGTCCCTGTGATTTTTGTGAACACGAGGGAGACCACGAGGATGACCACGAGGGTATGAACGTCTGTACACTTTGAAAAAAACAAAAAACTTTGTCACTTGGGGTGAACAAGACACTCGACTCTTCTCTTCCGTGCTTCTTGGGACACCAAACGTCTGTATTTTTCGTTCACTTCTCCATCAGGACAAAACACACACAAGTATTCGCAGGGGACTTTGGCGTGCTTCAGATGTTCTTTCCAGGGTTTGTCTGTTGCTTCCCATTGGCGGAGTGTCACACCACAGCAATAACAGGTACCACGGTCATCTCGTCCTGGATAGAAATAGCCAGCCATGGCCATGTCATAAGGGGTCTGGGTCATCTGTTTAGGCCACGTTTTAAAAGACCTCAGACGTTCTTGAAATGAATCATAGTGAGGATGAGAAGGAGACACAAGGTGTAAGAAGGTAAAGGTCCCTGAGTCGCCATGTGTCGTCCATAAAGAGGGTGTCCTCCATAAAGAGTGGACGTTTTCTCGCTTCTTGTTCTCCCGCCTTTTCAGACACCCACTCGGAATCGGGGACAACATCTCGGGAGGATGACATGGCATTCATAGACCCTCTTTGCTCCATGATGACTGTGACTTCACTGAAAGAAGGTCTGAGGGTTCGCCTGCTTTTATGAAACTCTCCTCCCTACCCCCCTTCAACGGAAGGTCATGACCTCCTCCTCCTCCTCCTTCACCTCATCACGTGACGTCATCCTGTGTTTGGGCTGACTGATACATGGCATGATATATGACATGACACATGACATGACACACGGTGGTAGTGGTGGTGTGTACTGGAATGACTGACACCAGGCAGCTGATCTTTCAAGCATGGCCTTTCTCTTTTATCTATTTATACTATATCACTTTTACAACGAGCATTACACTGACATGACAGAGGCACAGACAGACAACGTAGACGACATCTCAACTCAACCTCTACCCTCGGTTCGGCACTCTATTGGAGTTGAGATCAATCAAGACACAAAGAGTCAGTTCAATCAATCACTGTTTAATAATGAACAATCACAACCAGATACATTGGAAATACGAAAAGACAATGGAGGAGGGAGTGCTTTGCATGTCCCTACAACAACAATAACGCGACAACGTTTCCTCTTAAGCTTTCATCTTCCAGCTCTTCTATCTTCAAGCCCATGAGATGTGGTCCTCCATCAAACATGTGAGAGGTCCATCAGTTAAACAAGTACAGTCTATGACCTCCCTGAAACAGACATGACACATCACTTGACCACTGTTGCAGCTTATGTGTTGTAAAGCTCTTCGAGTGAAGATGAAGATCACCATAAGATGTGACCCTCCATCATACTGTCCCAAATAGGTCCCAAACATGTGACAGATCCATTAGTAAAACAAGTACAGTCTATGACCTCCCCGAAACAGACATGGCACATCACTTGGCCACTGTTGCAGCTTATGTATCTTAACATGTTGTTGTGTCGGCAATCACTACATTCACGTTGTAGAGAAGTGAGTTGAGCTTCTCCATAAGGATCCTGGTCAACGTTGTCATCGTTGCAAACCATGGGCATACCTGAGGAGAAGACATGAACATCTTCCGGTGATGCTGGTGACCAAGAAGCATCAAGCAGGGGGAGCGTGTCCAGATCCATGGAAGGGAGAGTGGCCAGCATGAGCGCTTCATGATCATCACTGTCACCGGTCGCCATCGTCACAGGTGCATTCGGTGAATAGGTTGGCTCCCGAGGGATTTGTTCCAACCACTGTTCTAGCACGGACTTGGCTGAACTGGCATCAGGGGTCCTGTCAATCACAGGACAGAGTCAATCATATGAATAGTCATATTCATCATGAAGATCAACATCATCATCACATCAAGAATGACTGAGACAAAGAAGAGCATGGTACTTACAGTTGTTCTTGATGAGAGATCTTCAGAGACAATTTCTTCCGTGATCGTCTTTTTGCAGGTGTTGCAGGTGTTGCAGGTTTCAAAAAGGATGTCTCCTTCGTTTCAGTGCCTGCTGCTGCTGCTGTTGTTGCTGTGGTGGTGGGGGTGGTGACTGGTGCTGTTGTGAGGGTGGTGGTGGTGGGTGTTGCTGCTGCTGTAGTGACAACAGCTGCCGTGGTGGTTGTGGTTGATGCTGCTGCTGCTGCTGCTGCTGTTGGTTTGCTTGTTTTTTTCTTCTGGTTCTTCTTTATCGTCTTCTTCAGTGCTACTTTCTTGGGTTCATTAAGTTTCCGCATCTTTAAATGTATCTTGGCGTATGCATCGTCAGCCTTTATCTTTGCACACAACATGTCGTACACATCACCCCACAGGTCAGCAGTCATGTCACCGTTCTCATCTCCCCTGCTTCCTTTACCACCCATGTCGCTCCGTGTCTTGGCATTCAACCGTTTCAACATGATGTTGTCCGGATTTTCTGTTCGTTGTTTCTTTCCAAGTCTTCACGGATGGGCGTCAACACTTGATGGTACTCTCTCCAAACACGTGTTTCTTCCAGATAAAACGCCAACAACCAACACAACGTGAGGAACATCAATCAGAGGGACGATGTTGTTGCTTGGTCCGTTCCATGAAAAGTGATGACCGGAGAGCGTTGGTCGTATTAAAAGGCACTGAGGCCCTGCTTTCTGATTGGTCCATTTTGGTGCCTGGCCTGAGCTTCAATTCTTCCAAACTGGACCGACCCTTGTGTTTCTTTTCCATAGGGTTAGGCTTGTAGTGTGAGAGAGAAAGCACAACCCCGTCCGGCCAATCAGAGCCCACCATGGTCCGAGCGCCGTCTCTGATTGGTCGACAATCCAGGCTTCTGATTGGTCAGATTTCGATCCGTTTTTTTCAGTAGGTGTTCAGTTTCGATCCGTTGTAATGATTTTTTTTTATAGAAAGTCGTCTCTGTACCCAAAGGGGAGCGTGTCTACAGGCAGCCCTGTGGTTTTGTCGTAGACGAGACATCGCTTGTCGTACACGGTACGATAGTCTTTTCGGGTAGGTCGGGTCACAAGAGCGTTTTCGTGCCTAGGTCCTTTTCGAATGATGTGATGAGGGTAATCCAAACTGATTTTCTCCCCTTCTTTCCCAGGCCGTTGTCCCAGTATGAGTCCTTTCATGGTGTCAAAGTTGAGATGTTGTTGGTTTCTGTAATTCAAAGTGAACCCTCGCATTTTGCAGGTCGTGCACGTTCCATCGGGTCTGGGGTTCATTAACTCATATCCATAGTTTTTGTGGCCTCCTGACACAAACGTCCCGATGGTGTTTCCGTCCAGTTCATCTGTAAACTCACCCAACGAATGGCCCAGCTCTGGATTCGCGTCGTGGGGTCGATGAATGTAAATGACGCTGTCCGTGTCAAAGTACAAGACCCTGCGACCCACCAGGGCAAGGGTCTAGTACAGCTTGAGACGTGCTTGGGCGTTGACCCAAGCAGCGATGGTGTCATTGAAATGAGAATGAGGGGTTTGGAATTCTTTCTTCTGGGTATAGGTCACTTCCTGCATGTGTTCGTTGACAACGGTAACATCCTCGATGGTATTGCGTTCATTCCTCCACAAGGCTAAGTACTGTACAGGATCGTTCATATAGATGTTCTGACTGTAGTCTAACCGTTGTCCAAACTTGCCCCAGAGTGAATTCAGTTGCATCTTGGCAATCGTGCAACGTCCTGGGTTTTTTTCCATGTGGTCCTTGTCCAACCCAATGCCTTCTTTCTACGTCGTGATCCGTACATCCCACGGGGTATCCGCTGGCTTCAAGCTTCTCCTTGAAATGCCGATCGATATAAGTGTCAAAGAGTCCTACTTGCTGGGTGTCGGGGTCATGCTGTGCAAAGGTGTCAAAATGCCAAACGTCGTAGATCTGAAGCACCTGGTAGTCATACTTCTTTACGGCTTCATGGAGTTCTATGGTGGCGTACGTCCCCACCCATGACCTCTCTTCGTCCGTGTGCTTGCAGGGGGAGTCTGACTGGGTGTCGGCACACGTACGGCACAAAGGACAGAGCAGTTTGCCACCCAATCTGTAAGGCAGTAGCGGATGGTAGAGTCGTTTCGGGGGTAGGACACGGTATTAGATCAGTCCTTTCAGTTCAAACAACGTGTCCACAGGGGGTGATGGAGAAGTGTCCCATGGGAAATGCACCGGTCTTACAAATGTATGGATAAAGGGAACAAATATCGATGTACTTGATGGTTTCACCTTCTTGGGCTTCGTAGCATAATTGCGTGGCATTGGTACGTCCTCCATAGAAGGCGTCGCGAGGGTTGAGCAGCCCAGGGACGTGGATACAGTGGGGTCCCTGCAAGAAAGCATGCAGAGCAGAGTCCTCCTGTTGCATTTTTGTAAACTCGTGCTCCCACAGGGTGACGATCCGTTTCACCTCAGGGTGTTGACTCAAGAGACTCAGGCGGTAGCGGGTGTCGGTATAACAGGCTCCCAACGACGTGCCCAGGATGGGATGCAGTTCTCCACGATCAGTCTTGTAACAGGCCTGGCACCCATGCCAGAAACAGCCCAGGAATTCATAGATGGTGCCTGTCGCTGGATCGTAGCCATCCACACTGTACCGATGTTGGCCCTCTCCACACATGAACTCTTTTTCACCTCCATTCCTGGCGAGCTGGAGGTGCAGATTGGGGTCCGTTTCCATCAGAGAGTTGAGCCAGTGCATACAGGCTTGGGAATAGTTTCTCTTGGGTTGGTAGACTTGAGGTGGAAGAATGGCGATGGTATTGGGTTTCAGGTCGTGTTTTCGGAAGGATTTCATGGTGAACGCAGCGGCTGTCATCACTTCTACAAAGGGATCCATGCCAACCAAGTTGATGGCGTTCTGTCGGAAGTCAGCGCATCCCCGTCTCAAAATGTCCACATCGCTCTGACAGTAGGCTAAAAGTTCTCCTTGTAAGTCAAACAAGGCTCCTTCTTGCACTTTTTGGGTATGCCATTGGACGAAGGCTTTGCGTTCCTCGGGAGACATGCCATCGGGATCATACATGACGGCTGGTGGATAGGGACCTCTGTAGGTCTGGTTGGCTTCGGAATTGAAAAAGTGCGGAAAATACCCTTTCTTCAGTTCTTTCAGCCAAAAGCTCTTTGGAAAGGCTTTCAGGGGGTAAGGTATGAAATTTAAGCTGTCTTCGAAACACAACTGTCCAAGGGTCACCTGCAAAATTTGTTGACCATTTCGAATCTTGGTGGGGACTTTCACCAGAGGGGGGAAAGACCCTTCAGGATCAAGTGTAAATCATAGGATCGTGCATTGTGGGCCATCACATAAATGCGATCCTCCATCTTGACTGTCGTGGTGGTGGTGGTGGTGTTCTTGTTCTTTGTCTTTTTTTTCTTCTTTGTTTTCTCCACTTCCATGGCCTCTTCCCCCTCCACCAAAGCTTCCACCACCTCTTCCTGCTGGGGGGATGAATGTCGTTGACGTTTTGAAGAGTGCTTTCTTGAGGGGGTTCCATCCTGTTTTCTTTTCCCCAGGTGGGCTGTTGTCCCCTAGCTAGAGTGGAGGCAGCGGTGGCAGCGTTATTGCTTGGTGCAGGGATGGGTTTCGGGATGTTCGTAACGTTGGTTGCAGTGTTCGCAGTAATAGCTAGACGCATAAAAAGCTGGCATGGGAGTGATGACATCGTAGTGCTGATCATGATGGTATAAATGCAGCATGGTGGCGTGGGGTGGAGCCTCATCACATGGGATGGGACGTTCCAATGCGTGTATTGCAACACTGTGCTGAAGGACACCTACATGCGTCGTTTAACGCACACAAGTAGGTGTCCTGTAAGACGCCAAATGACTGTCCACCCGTGCCTTTGTACCATTGCTTGTACCTGCATGTGAAGAAGTCATCTTCTTCAAAACGGCCCTTTTCAGGGCCACCCATCTCTCCCGAAAGAACGCTTTCGTCCTTTGCTTTGACGACCCTCAAACCCAAACAAAGAACCCGCCTCCTCCCTCCCTCCCCCCCTCCCTCCACCACCACCTCCTCCCTCCACCACGTCAATGTTTAGAACAACAACACCAACACTGTCGATCTTGTTCACCTTTTACGACCGCTTCTCTGGGTTTTTCCCAATTCCCTCCTCCTCCTCCTCCCCCGGAAACGGATGCAACGTCCTCTTGAAGGTGCATCACCACCAGAAACGGAGGCGACGCCCTCTTGGAGGTGCGCACGACACCGGAAACGGAGGCGAAGCCCTCTTGGAGGTGCGCACGCCACCGGAAACGGATGCGACGCCATCTTGGAGGTGCGCACGCCACCGGAAACGGATGCGACGCCATCTTGGATGCGCGTGCAGGTCCCATCATGCCCTGTGCGCATGCGCAGTCACGTGACCAAACTGAAACCGGAAGTGACGTCACAGATCCTATCGACCAATCAGAAGCCAGGAGCGGTCCTAAAGTACCGCTACCAACTACTGATGTGACGTTAAATCTTAACTCACTCACTCACTCACTATCCTTATGCAGGAGGAATAACTGAACATGCAGAATTGCTTAACATCAGCACTTCTGACGAAGTAGTGCTGGCAGCTGATAATTTAGGTACATGTACTTTGTTTCAGAGTCCATTAGAGACAAAATTCACAAGAGTCAATTATCCAGTTTGTAGAGTGGTGTACAAATGAGCCAGACACATTTGGTTTTCTAGGTATTTGCGACAAAAAAGGGCATGCAATTGATGAACTACACTGGTCTTGATATTTGCCAGGATTTATCTAGAGCACTATCCACAAAAATATATAGATATTGTCAGGAGTCGGGCATGTCAACATTATGGATTAGGCTGGTGTAAATACGATGAGCAGTTCTATATGTCATGGGCAATGTTACTCCAGGAGCTGTGTTTGATGTGCATGACCCCTGCATATATGTCAAGGTCGTATGATGGATCAGGCGTTGCCATGGGGAGGGGGGGGGGGGGGGGGGCGTGGGAGGGGGGGGGGGGGGGCAGTACAGACCCTTGACACAAACAACATCCATCATTGTCCATGGGAAACCCAAACACTTCAAGCTACTAAAGGCATAAAGATCACA